CTCACCATTGCGGCCTCTCCCGTTGCGGAGCACAGGCTCCGGACGCGCAGGCTCAGCGGCCATGGCTCACGGGCCCAGCCGCTCCGCGGCATGTGGGATCTTCCCGGACCGGGGCACGAACCCGTGTCCCCTGCATCGGCAGGCTGACTCTCAACCACTGCGCCACCAGGGAAGCCCTACAGCCCATTTTAGACTCTGACCTCCACAACTATAAGAGAATAAATTTGTGTTGTTTTAACCCACTAAGTTTGTGGTAATTTGTTACAGTAGCAATAGTAAACTAATATACTACCATTCAGCACTTAACTCATACCTAATAAACTACCCCCGTCCTGCTCAAGACACTTTACGTAACAGATTATTAACTTTTTACATAATAGACTCTAAAATATATTATTAGCTGTTGGAGGCTGTCATTGAAAGGACATGATCGGGACTTCCCTGGTGGTCCAGTGGTAAAGAATCCACCTTCCAATGCAGGGGATGAGGGTTCAATCCCTGGTCGGGGAACTAAGATCCCACATGCCGAGGGGAAACTAACTCCATATGCTACAACTACTGAGCTCGCGCACCTCAACAAGAGAGCCTGCCGCAAACTACAGAGCCCGTGCGCCCTGGAGCCCACGCCACAACTAGAGAGAGAAAACCCACACGCCACAGTGAAAGATCCCGCATGCCTCAGTGAAGATCCCAAGGGCCACAACTAAGACCCGAGACAGTCAAGAGAAAAGATAGATAAATAAATAATTGAAAAGGACATGATCGTCCATGGAGCCATGAGCTGGACCCTGGCAATTGGATACTACACGCCCCCTCCTCTGTCCTTGTAATGTACACTTTGGCCACCGTTCCCACAGTGGGAGCTACTTTCAAGGACAAGAGAGTAGGATGTTGCTGAGATCACCTGGACAGTGACTGGCCCTGTTCTGGGCTCCAGATAAACTTTTAAGATTCTGGCAGGCGGGTAAGGAGATCTACTTGCTTGCAGCTGCCCAAGACAAGCCCGTATGTAAGTTCTCTTGCTCTGTAGGTACATGCTACCACCTACCAATCTGGAGTGGCTGCCTCTTTCTTCAGTCTCTCCTTGCCCTCTATGTATGGGGGGCCAGTGTGTGAACCAGCATGAGCACGGGCCATTTAGTTATCTTGTTAATGAGAGAACCGGCAGGATGTTAAGGCTGGTTCAAAAGAGATATAAGAAACTATGAACTATAACTAGTGTGGAAGAGAATGCTGGAGGGGGCTTCCCTGGTGGTGCAGTGGTTAAGAATCTGCCTGCCAATGCAGCGGACACAGGTTCGAGGCCTGGTCCGGGAAGATCCCACATGCCGCAGAGCAATGAACCACAACTACTGAGCCCGCGAGCCACAACTACTGAAGCCCACACGCCTAGAGCCCATGCTCCGCATTGAGAAGCCACCACAATGAGCAGGCTGAGCACCGCAACAAAGAGTACCCACCGCTTGCCGCAACTAGAGAAAACCCTCGTGCAGCAACAAAGACCCAACTCAGCCAAAAATAAATAAATAAATAAATAAATAAATTTATTTAAAAAAAAAAGAATGCTGGAGTAAGACTCAAATGTTAAATATCATACCAGTTAATATCCGGCAAGGCAATAAAACTGTCCCCTTTGGGGTTATCTTTTCTATCAAAATGAAATCATCTCGACTGGACAAAATTAATTTGCAATTTAGCAGTCTTCTACAAATTAACATCTAACTTTACTGAGTCTGGTACCTCACTAATAGTAAATACTAAGTCAGACAAAGTTGCCTCCCCTAGAACTTCAAATTATCCTGAAGCAGGCTCGTTAGACAATGTTCTTGTTATAACATAGAAGGGGCGCACAATAACCTTTTTTCCTTATTTCCCAGTTCTGTACAATTTTTCTAAACACACTTGTCCCAGTTACCTATTAGTGAGTAATAAACTACTCCAAAATTTTGTGGTTTAAAACCACAACCATTTGATTATAATACCACAATTTTATGGGTCAGGTATCTGGGAAAGGCTCAGCTGAGTGATTCTTCTGCTTCACATCGTGTTGAATGGGGTCACTCAATGACATTCAGTTGCTAGCTGAGCTGGTCTGGACAGCTTCATTCACGTGTCTGGTGTGGCTGGTAAGCTGGGTATAGCTGGACCCCTCTTCCTCTTCACGTAGTCTCAGGGCCTTTCCACATGACCTCTTCAGCAAGGTAACTGGACATCTTACATGGACTTACACTGTCAATCTTCTTAAAGACTAGACACAGAACTGGCATAGCATCACCCCCCCCCGCCCCCTGCTCCATTGGTCAAAGCCATTATAATCCAGTCCAGATTCAAGGAATAATGGAAGTAGAACCCACCTCTTGATGAGAGAACAAAGAATTTGTATCCTTGTTTAATCTACCACAAGTTTCATCTTATACATTTTTATTTTCATTATATTGCTAATCCTTTTGTCTAAAGTCTGCTGCACCAAGAGTTCCCATAGCTTTCTGGGATGTCCGTCACAACTTTGTTGGCTACATGAGAAATGACCCTCTGGGCAGCCCACCACTCTTTTTCTCCCTCTCTATAACCCTTTGCAAGCACTCATGGACAATATCTTAAAGCAGCGGTATGCAAAGTGTAGTCCAAGAACCAATAGCATCAGCATCACCTGGGAATTTGGCATAAATGCAATTCTTAGGTCCCACTTCAGACCTACTGAACCAGAAACACCAGGGATGGGGCCCAGCAGTCTGTTAGAACAAGCCCTCTTGGCGAGGCTGGGAACCACTGTTGTAGAGCTGTACATTACTTAATGAAAATTAATACAACATCTGAAACTAGTCTCACAAGAAAGTACATTTTATGTTCTTTTACCATGATCTAAAAAAAAAGAAGCATGTAGAGAATCTGTAAATACCACAGTGGATTATTTACAGCCTCTGGAGAAAGGACAGACAATACCAAAGCACGGTGGCTTTCACTAACTGATGTTCTCTCTCAGCTGTGAAAAGCCTTTTCCATATACCCAGGCTCGCAGGAAAGACTTTTCTTCCACTCACTCAAGGGACACTCTCCAGGGGCCTCATATCTTATTTCTACAGAATTACTTGTGAAAAGAATTTGTATCCTCTCTATCTTAATAATGGGCCTATTACACAGCTCAAAAAAATACATTATTCACCTAAAGGGACTCTCATTAATCTCCCTCAAAGGCAGTTGGTGCATGGGAAAAACAGGTAATTTTATTGATTGTCTATATGACACCTTGTTTTCTGTTTCCTTCTCTGCTCTGTATTATTTCTTTCCTTATCTTTTCTTTAAAATTATCCTATAGTTCATTTATATTGAAGCTTTCCTATTTTCTTATATAAACTGCTTTAGCTGTATCCTAAAAGTCTTTATATGTTAATAAGTTTATCATTCAGTTCTAAATATTTTTTGCTTCCCATTATGTTTTCTCAAGTAGTCCATTAATTAGAGGCACGGAGTTTTTGTTTTGTTTTTTTTTAATTTCTGATCTCTAACATAATGATCAGAAAACAGGATCTGCAACATCAGGAATCAGCAAACTCTTTGTGTAAAGGGCCAGACAGTAAATATTTCAGGCTTTGCTAGCCAAATGGCCTCCATTGTAAGTATACAACTCTGCCTTGGTTGCCCTAAAGCAACCAAAGACAATACGCAAAAAAATGAGGGTGGTTGTATTCCAACAAAACTTTACTTACAAAAACAGGCAGCTGGCCAGATTCGGCTGTGGGTCACAACTTGCCAACCCTTGGCCTACATGGCACCAGTTCTTTGGTCATTGTGCTGTTACCTGTACTACATGAGGTTTTGTAATGTTCCATGCATGCTTGAAAGCTAATTATCATCTTATCCTTGGCCTGTTCCACTTTAAGCTTTAGGCCTGGCCCATGCAAACATTCGCTTTTGTAAAACTGTCACAGTGATTAAGAGATTGGATTTTTGGAATCAGAGAGAACTGGTTGTCACTTTCCACTGGGTGGTTTAGGATAGATGAATTAACATCTCTAATCCTCAGGTTCCACATCTGTAGGGAAAATAACAGTACCTACCTCACAGGGTTGGCATGAGGCAGACTTCAGTCATTAGTAGAAGTAGTATTAGAATCATCACTGAACCACTACTCTGTGAGGCAGGTTTCATTAAACCCATTTTACAAAGAAATTAAGCCTCAGACGTGTTTAGATAACCTGCTCCACATCTGACAGCCAATGACAAAGTACTGATTCCCACCCATAACTTCTAGTTCCAAATCCAAAGTTTCCAGTACTCAGACTCTGATTGATCAATCTGGTCATACTAACATGTAAGGAATTTACGCCACTCCTAGGCGAGGCTGCATTTTAAGACACCGGGAGAAAGGAGTTGCGAAATCCACTCTTTAATTCTTCGAATTAATTCTTTGTGGTCCAAGTTTAGTCCTTATGGGGAAAGAAAGAGTTCTCCAGGGCCGAAAGGGCATGCAAGGTGCTAGCGGAGGTATACCCCCCCAAACAGACTTCTGGAGGCAGGCTGCCGAGGCTTACACCCAGGACAAACGTTTTTCTGGGCTTGATCCTCTAAGCAGGTGGTGTCACCCAGCGGCGCACTCAGCCTCGATGACCTTGCTGCCCACGGCTGTGCTGCCCTACTTGGCTCTCCCACTTCACCTGCCTGGAGCGCCTGGGACCTAAAAATACCTCCCTGGTGGAACCTCCCGGAACATGCATTCGGCTTTTTTTTTTTTTTAATCGCCCTCATCACTTTGAGACACACAAATCACAGCCCTGACCCGCTGTCGACTCAGCGGGTGACGTGCCGCTGAAAGTGGCGACGAATTCTGCCCATTTCAATGACCTGAACTTTTATTTTTTCCCCTCCACTCGGCGCATTATCGTATGTCGTGAGGAGTGCCAAGCAAAACCCGCGAAGACCGTGTTGGACGCTGGCAAAACGGTCTAGGAATCTCCCTTTCTCCCAGTCCAGGCTAATCCTGGGACTCTTCAAAGCCTTACCCTGTGACAATCACAAGGCTTTTCTCCGCCCCGTCGGTGACGGAAAACTCGTGACTCGAACCAGAGCGCCGGGCGGGCACACAGAAGCCAGGGGCGGAGCTACAAGTCCAGATCGCGAGGAAGCCCCCGACGGGCGGCGCGTGCGCAGTGTCTCGCCATGGGACCTCCTTCCCGCCGCTGAGCCTAGGAAGCGGGACGCCAAATCTGTCCCCGCGCAGCCGCCGCCGCCGGGCGCCGAACGGGGCGGCCGCCCTCCCCGAGGCGCGCCTGCGCACGTTCCCACGCACGCTCCGGCGTACGGCGGCGGCCAGGGGTCGCGAGCCGGTGGAGGACCCGCGCGCGGAGGAGCCCGCAGAGTCAGCGCTTCTTCCCTCCCTCCCCTATTCCCCTCCCCGCTCCCTCCCCCCCCCCAAGAATGTTCCGCTACGAGGTGAGTTGTTTCGACCGGAAGTGACCCCTCCCTCCCTCCCTCCCGCACGCGCCCCTCTTTCTCCCTCACCCTCCGCGCGTCTGCCCAGCGCTCCTGGGGGGAGGGGGCGGGCGGCGGGACCCGCGGGACCGAACGGAGTGCGTTGGGTCTGGGGTCGCGGGTTTAATCCGAGGGCTGTGAGCTGGCTTCGGGGGGCGGGACTGTCCTATCAGTTGCCACTGAGGAGAGCTGACCTATGTTTTGGGGTGGGGAGGGACCCTTACGTGCCTTAACCGGACCACCCCGCACCCCCGGAGGAGTGAGGAGTAGAGAGCGTTGCACCCACCCTCGGTGGCTCTTGAGGAAGCTTCACCCGAGAAAGCCCAGAGACGTGTTTCCCGCCCTGGACCCGGAACCATCTCCCCTCCAATTACTTATACACACCCCCTTACAAACCGGCGACCGTCAGGTCCCGGGGGCCTGGACTCGCCCTTTGACTGGGGCCAAAGACCGTTTACTAAAGAGGACTCCGAGTTGGGAAGGGGCGTGTCCAGCAGAAGTTCCTTCTGGGCGAGTGGAGGGGGACGTGGGTTTGGTGACGGTCCGGGTATGTAGCAACAGTCGAGAGTCCTGACAGTGTCACTGGTTCGCTGTATGACCTTTAGCGACTCCTAATCATTGGACAGGGTTTCTGGATTTGTAGAACCAAAGGGTTGGTTTAGATGACCCCTAAGAGTCTTTCCAGTGTAAAAAGCAGTGATTTGGTTAAGTAGATCTTTGTGATTTGGGAATGCTTCTGGAAGTTGCCTGTGATGGGGAGGCAGTTGCATGCTTGCTTTGTGTAAGTTTGGGAGACTTAAGATGGGTAGGATGGCCGTTTGACCTAACCTTTCATTTGGGAACATCCTGGCTAAGAGGTAGCCAGTCAGGGTGTATCCGAAATGTGACTGCAGAGAGCGTGTGGAATTCCGATCCTGAGTGTTTGAAAACTGGGGACACGTATACTTGGTATTTGATAGGAATGGTTCAAGATCAAACTGCCTTTATGTAAACATGGAGAGAGATGATGAGATGCAGTAGGCAAAGTTCCCAAAAGAAAAGAAAACTTGGAAAATAAATCAGTTGAAAACTGAAATGGGGGTGGGAGGGTACGTTTAAGATAGAACACACCTAAGTGGTTAAACTGGTGATATCTAGCGTTGTTTAACAATACCCAATGTTTGCCTAAATCTTTGCCTCATTCGATCCTCACAACAGCTTTCCGAGGTAGGTGGTATTGTCCCTGCATTACCACTTAAGAGACTGTGGCTTAGAGGCTAACACAGCCTGAGACAAAATAGATGCTCAGGGGGTATTGAATGAATTAATCAGAAAGGATGTGACTTGCCCAAGTTGGTATCACTTGTAAGAGTAGAGACACAACTTAAACCTGTCACATCACAGCTTTTCAAGAGTTCACTTAATTGTGATTGAACACTTAGCTTTCTCCTTTATCACCAGAGTTTGGATCTGTAGGAAAACAGAAGGGGAAAAGGAAAATGAAGAGAAAGCTTTAAAAGGGAATAATAAAATAGTTGAAAAGGTGACATGAATATGGGGAAGATGAGAATTTCGTTGAAAAATATAGGTAGAACTCAAGCAAAATAATAAAGTGTTCATTTTCACTTGTCATTATTATTGTAACCAGTGATGGAAAGGAAGTTGGCAGGCCTCATTTCTTGGTTGCATGAGGAAATGCTGTTATTAGATTCTTGATAAATAGAGAAATGGAAGTTTGGGGGAAGAGGTTAAATAAGGAATAGGAACGAGAAGCCGAAGGAAAAGGTACTGAAGTCTTCCAGTGTCAGGGAAATTGGGGGATAGAAAAAATGCCATGTGCACAAAAAGTCATAATGAAGCTATTGTGTTGATCGGGAAGATGAAAACATTTTTTTAGAGCGAGGTTGTGAACTTCATGAATAGCTGATCTCTTTTTTCTCTTTTTTTAGTCTTTGGAGGATTGTCCTCTGGATGAAGATGAAGATGCATTTCAGGGCCTGGGAGAGGAAGATGAAGAGATTGATCAATTCAATGATGATACATTTGGGTCAGGTGCAGTTGGTAAGTGATGTCTTTCTTTTATAATGTCATCTTGGTCTCTTGCTGTTTTCAAATGCTCTCTTTTATAAGTACTTTTGTCTAAGTAGGCGTAACCTCATTCACAAAGTTGGCAAACTGTTCTGTTCTTCACTCCAAGCATCTACCCTCCTCCTCTGGGCTTCTTTTTGCCTCACTTATAAAATCAAGTGTTTTCTAAGCCCTGTCCCTTCCAGCTTTATGATCTATGGCTCTAAGCTGACACTATAAGGAATTCAAATGATTAGAGAAGTGGACATTTTACAAAGGTTTAAATAATCCTAGAAGAAGGAAATTTTTATTTGTGGAACATGGAACTTAAGGAAAACTAGTGGATTAGGAGAAAACTCAGATTCAGATGTATATGTTTTAAAATTCAGTTGATCAATAATATATTGCATGACCCTGCTATTGCCCTATAGTATATTCAATAAATAAAGTTTTTTATTCCAAGAATTTTGGTGATAGAAAGTCTTCATAAGTTAGAAAAGTGTTGTGCACAGATGAAATTTTCTCATCCTTGGGTATAGATAAATATTCCTGGTGTTGGAAGTGGTTAAAAAATTAAAGAGCCAAACTAAACTAGAGGCCACAGTTATAATTACTGAGATGAAAGGTTTAGGGAGCAAGCTTACATAATAAAGTTTGAGAGTTAGAGATCCTGGAACAAGTATACTAATAAGTTAAAATTAAACTGTACTTTGGAAAGATGAATAGGTAAGGGAAGTCCCTGGTGGTCCAGTGGTTAGGACTCTTCGCTCTCACTGCCAAGGGCCCGGGTTCATCTCTGGTTGGGGAACTAAGATCCCGCATACCCCGTGCAGCCAAAAAAAAAAAAGAATAGGTAAGGCCAGAAACTATAAAACCCTTAGAGGAAACATAGGCAGAACACTCTATGACATGCATCACAGCAAGATCTTTCTTGATCCACCTCCTAGAGTAATGGAAATAAAAACAAAAATAAACAAATGGGACCTAATGAAACTTAAAAGTTTTCCACAGCAAAGGAAACCATACACAAGATGAAAAGACAACCCTCAGAATGGGAGAAAATATTTGCAAATGAAGGAACTGACAAAGGATTAATCTCCAAAATATACAAGCAGCTCATGCAGCTCAATATCAAAAAAACAAACAACCCAATCCAAAAATGGGCAGAAGACCTTAATAGACATTTCTCCAAAGAAGATATACAGATGGCCAAGAAACACATGAAAGGATGCTCAACACCACTAATCATTAGAGAAATGCAAATCAAAACCACAATGAGGTATCACTTCACACTGGTCAGAATGGCCATCATCAAAAAATCTACAAATAAATGCTGGAGAGGGTGTGGAGAAAAGGGAACCCTCTTGTACTGCTGGTGGGAATGTAAATTGATGTAGCCACTATGGAGAGTAGTATGGGGGTTCCTTAAAAATCTAAAAATAGAACTACCATATGACCCAACAATCCCACTACTGGGCATATACTCTGAGAAAACCATAATTCAAAAAGAGGCAGTACCACAATGTTCATTGCAGCACTATTTACAATAGCCAGGACATGGAAGCAACCTAAGTGTCCATCGACAGATGAATGGATAAAGAAGATGTGGTACAGATATACAATGGAATATTACTCAGCCATAAAAAGATAGGAAATTGAGTTATTTGTAGTGAGGTGGATGGACCTAGAGACTCATACAGAGTGAAGTAAGTCAGAAAGAGAAAAACAAAAAACAAATACCATATGCTAACACATATATATGGAATCTAAAAATATAATGGTTCTAAAGCACCTAGGGGCAGGACAGGAATGAAAACGCAGACGTAGAGAATGGACTTGACACGGGGAAGGGGAAGTTGGGATGAAGTGAGAGAGTGGCATGGACATATATACACTACCAAATGTAAAACCGATGGCTAGTGGGAAGCAGCCACATAGCACAGGGAGATCAGCTTGGTGCTTTGTATCCACCTAGAGGGCTGGGATAGGGAGGGTGGGAGAGACACGCAAGAGGGAGGAGATAAGGGGATATATGTTTATGTATAGCTGATTCACTTTGTTATACAGCAGAAACTAACATATCATTGTAAAGCAATTATACTCCAATAAAGATGTTAAAAAAAAACCCAAAACATTGTATAGAGGTAACATTTTAACCACAATTCTGTCAGTATTGTGGGGTTTTGTTTTAGTATTGTTTTAAAATAATTTCTGTAATTGTTTTAAAATATTATCTTGTAGCTTTAATTTTGTCCATTCCATTTCAATAAGATTTGATGAACACATTTGGAAAAAAAAAAAGATGAATAGGTAAGAGTCCATGGAACTCTCTTTGCTTTGACTGTTGGTGTTGAAAAGCAGCAATGACCACATTTATGTTGGGATGTGTGAATATGTGGGATTTCAAATATTCAAGTTAAGTAATAAGAAGAGGAAATTTATCAGTAGTGGGTAACCCTAAAATGTTCAATATCAAAAACAAATAAGAGGTCTTAAAAATGTTGTATTAGGACTTCCCTGGTGGCGCAGGGGTTAAGAATCCACCTGCCAATGCAGGGGACATGGGATCAATCCCTGGTCGGGGAAGATCCCACATGCTGTTGAGCAGCTAAGCCCGTGCGCCACAGCTACTGAGCCTGCGCGCCACAACTACTGAAGCTCACCCGCCTAGAGCCCGTGCTCCGCAGCAAGAGAAGCCACCACAGTGAGAAGCCCGCACACCGCAACAAAGAGTAACCCCTGCTCGCCGCAACTAGAGGAAGCCCACGTGCAGCAACAAAGACCCAATGCAGCCAAAAATAAAATAAAATAGTTGTACTGGTTAC